TATGCGGGGTGGCACAGTCTTTAAGAAGAGAGGCCAAGGCGACATTCCGTTCACTTGGCAAGCTACTGGTGAGAAACTTTGTCTTTACCTCGATTTTTATTACTAAAATCTTACTGTGTTTCTTCTTTGCAGAGCTGAATTCAACCAGGTCGGGCAGAGTGGGGATGGCTTGGACGTGCAGACCCATAAGGTTCTAGCCTTTCCGAAGGCACATAGGGATTGGCGGGTGGTGTTAGAGGAAGCTAACCTTAGGATGAGTCATCTCTAGGCCGGAGTAAAAGCCATCCAGCGAGGTATCCCCTTCCCTTCACTGAAGTAAACCTGGAGTGTGTTGCTAACTCGCTACTGCAATCATACCTTGTATGGTAAGTCGAGGCTGAATCCACTAATTGTTGGAGAGTTTGTGATTGCAGAAAAGCTAATGAAGAAGCTAACTGTCTCGAGTGCGAGCGAGTCCATTGCAAGGCGTCGGGAGAAACGGAAGAGAGAGTCCTCAGCTAAAGAGGAGAGAAGAGCGGAGGATGTTATGGCAACTCCACCAAGTCATTAGCCTGTGGCTGGAGCTGCGTCATCCAAGACAGCAGTGTTGGATGAGGAGACTGAGAGGATCACCTTCAGCATCCCAGCTTCTGCATCGACCTACTCGGATGTGGCTTTCATGAGTCAGTTGGTCGACTCATTCTTATTCCCAGCCGGCGAGACTTATTTGAACCAGATGGGTACAGTCGTGGCCGCTGACTAAAGGGTTTCCCATGCTTTCCAGGTATGAGCTGGAGTTTTACTTTACTGTGTTTATTGTAGGCATATATTGATCAAGTTGTTTTGTTATGCAGACATTCACCAGCAGCCTGCATCTGAGGAAATCCATTGTGTTGCAGGAGAAGAGGATACAGGATGTGTCAAAATCTAATGCCAACCTGTGACAGAGGAAGGTAGTAGTGCAGAAAGCTAAGTAGGAGAGCCAGCGGCATCTAAAGGAGGCTAAGAGTGAGTTAGAGCGGCTGAGGAGGTAGTTGGCCAAGAAGACTGTGGAGGTCGAGTCCTTGAGGGAGCAGTGCCTAAGCATCACTGATGATGCCATCATTAGGGCCCAGGGAGAGCTCATTCTTGAGTACAAGGCTGAGAACACCTTTCACTAGAACCCGGATGAGGACATCTAGCTCATGCAGAAGATGATGGAGGAGGAGGCCGCTAGACATACGGAGGAGCAGATTGATGAGCAAGTGCTCGATTTTGCTAGCCAGCTGGGGCCATCGATTATTGAGGATGTGAGCAACCAGGCTACAGGGGTGAGTGCTAGGGCTGGTGATAGGGTGATCGAGTCAGAGATGAGTGAGATGACTTGCACTGATGAGACTTAGCTTTTTTTGTTTTTGCTCATGCATTTTTTGGGGCCTGCGATCTCCTTCGCTAGCGTGTATGCCTTACTTTGTACATCAAACTTAGTCGCTTGAGGCTTCTCCTATATTGTGCATATGATTCTATTTTGGTGCTTTCCTTGTGGGTGAATGAGTTGATTACTTGTTTGTTTGTAGATGCACTAGAGGTTGAACCGCGTGCTTGTGTTGCGATTTTGACGTGGTCAAGTGGCTGAGTCGTGTGGACTCTCTAGTGGGTTGGGGATGTAACTTTATGAATCAGTCTGGGCAGATTGAAGGTGTAATCCTTATGAATCGGTCTGGGTCGATTGAAGGTGTTATGCTTATGAATCGGTCTGGGCTGATCAAAGATGTAAACTTATGAATCGGTCTGGGCCGATCAAAGGTGTAATCCTTATGAATCGGTCTAAGCCGATCGAAGGTGTTACATTTATGAATCGGTCTAGGCCGATCGAAGGTGTAAACTTATGAATCGGTCTGGGCCGATCGAATGTGTAAACTTATGAATCAGTCTGGGCCGATCGAAGGTGTTATACTTATGAATCGGTTTGAGCCAATCGAAGGTGTTATACTTATGAATCGGTCTGAGCCAATCGAAGGTGTTATACTTATGAATCGGTCTAAGCCGATCGAAGGTGTTATACTTATGAATCGGTCTAAGCCGATCGAAGGTGTTATACTTATGAATCGGTCTAAGCCGATTGAGCCGATTGAAGGTATTATCCTTATGAATCGGTCTAGGCCGATCAAAGGTGTTATACTTATGAATTGGTCTGAGCCAATCGATGGTGTTATACTTATGAATCGACCTGAGCCAATCGAAGGTGTTATACTTATGAATCGGTCTGGGTCGATCGAAGGTGTTATACTTATGAATCGGTTTGGACCGATCGAAGGTGTAAATAGTTCTATTGTTGAATAATACTTTATTTTATTCAGGCCTTGAGGCCGACTGACGGTGGAGGAGGTGGATAGGCCCACTCATCCTTTTAAAAATAGAAAAAAGAAAACAAAGTTAAACTAAAAGTAATAACGTTTGAGGTGGACTGCATTCCAACTATTGCTGATGTCTTTACCTTCACGAGTTTGGAGTCGGTAGGCACCCTTCCCTATGGACCCTCCCAGGTGGGGTTGAGCTTGCCAGAGTTGACCCCTCTAATGTTTTGGAAAACCTTGCAGAGGACCCAGTCGCCAATTTTCAAAGTTCTGATTCAGGTGTTGCGGTTGTAATGTTAAGCGGCTTGCTGTTGATAGACTGCGTTGTGAATTACTGCCTGCTGGTGCAATTCATCAACGGTGTCCAGGTTGTGGTTATTGGTTTCTCCGTTTGTCCATTGAAGTCTGGTGGACGGGATTGATACTTCGACTAGGATGACTGCTTCAGATCCTTATGTGAGGGAGAAAGGGGTTTCACCCATAGATGAGCGTGCTGTCGTTCTGTAGGACCAAAGGACTCCGGATAGTTCATTTGCCCATATGCCCTTGGCTTTCTGTAGGTGTTTCTTTAAAGTCTGCATGATAGTTTTATTTGATGATTCAGCTTGGCCATTAAATTGAGGGTTACGGGGGGTAGAGAAGCTGAGCTTGATTCCCCACATGTCGTAGAAATCTCTGAAGCCTGAACTGATGAATTGAGATCCATTGTCAGTGACGATTTCCTTCGGTATCACAAACCTGCACATGACATGCTTCTAGATGAAAGCTTTTACCTCTCTGTCTCTGACTTGTGTGAGTGCCTCAGCTTTGATCCACTTAGTAAAGTAGTTTGTGACAGCCAACATGAAGACTCGTTGCCCAAGCATAGTCAAGAGCTTTTCGACTATATCCATTCCCTACTTCATGAACGGCCAAGGTGTCAGAGTAGAGTTGGGTCGTTCGGGTAGGAGATGTGAGACGTGGGCAAACCTCTGGCAACTGTCACACTTCTTCACATAAGTTACTGAGTCAGTGCGTATAGTTGGGCAATAATAGCCAATAGTGATCACCCGGTGGGCAAGGTTGCGTCCTCCGGCGTGGTTTCCATATTCGCCTTCACGGAGTTCGGCCAAAACTCGTTTGGCTTCTTCTAGGCTTATGCTTTTGAGGTAGGGACCAGAGAATGACTTCCTAAGGAGCTGGCCTTCGTATATCGTGAACCTGGCAGCTTTTGATCTCAAGCGGCTAGGAGCTTATTGTGTTCCAAGTACTTTACTATTGGAGTCATCTAGGTATTAGACAATTTGATGTCCATCACTTATTCGGGCAGCTTGTTCGTTGGTCCTTCCTTCCAGTCAGCCAGCCATTGGAGGAACAACAGAGGGATGGATGCTTGGGAAGAATATTGAAGGGCTGAGCCGAGGTTAGCAAGGGCATCAGCATGGGTGTTCTCCGTTCTTGGGACTTAGGCAATGGAGAACTCTTCAAAGGCATTTTGCAATTGTTTGACCAGGTTCAGGTAAGTTGTCATCTTTGAGTCATGGGCTTAGTAAGTGCCTTAAAGTTGGTTGACCACGAGTTGGGAATCAAACTTTACCTCCAGTTTCCTTACTCCAATTTTTTTGGCTAAGGAGAGTCCAACGATGAGAGCCTCATATTCAGCTTTGTTGTTAGTGCATTTGAATCCACATCGTTGGTGCATTGATGTAATGAGATGTGGGTTTTGATTAAACTTGCCAGAGGCTAAACCAATTGCTGCATGTAATGCTTGGGTGAATTTGGAAAAGCGATGACTTGCTCAAGGCATGGAATTTTATTTAATTATGAATAAAGTTGATCAGTTTTCGGCATATGAGCCCAGTTTCACATGTGGGTCAATTTCCAAATTTTTTTAGCTCCTCAAGCAAGTTGATCAAATAATTTCCACAGCATATTCCTATGAATACCCATCAGTTCGTCTCTGTGGCCATTTGTTGAATAATAGCGAAAGAAATTGTATGAAATATCTAGTAACCTACCATTCACGGAACTATAATGCATGCCCCAAAAGTAAGTGTATTGACTTGACCTTGCTAATTATGTGCCCTTGAAAAATAGTTTTATCTAATGATATTTCAATTTTTTAAAAATTATTGAATAGATATAAGAAAGTATCACTCTACAGTGCTATTATATTGTTGGAAGAATAAGAGGTTTTTAATGCAAGACTAACTCGACCAATAAGAGGGGAAAGGTATTAACCCTATTATTTCGAATGAATTCGAAACTTTTAATCTCTCGGATAATTAACCATTCTATTGGTTAAAACATAAGTTTAGATAATATTCTTTGTTAACTTTAATCTATAAGTTGAAGACAGATCAAGATTTCTAAATATGCCACCCTAATAAAAGAGACAGCAATCTCAGATTTCCAAAGTTGCTCAGGTTGATAATAGAAACAAATTAACAAAAGTCTATGGCACAGGCATAGCCAACATATACATGTTTTCTAAATACTTGAACTTTTGCGGGCTAAACATTGCAGTTTCTTAAATAGTGTCAGCTTTTGGAACATGGCCAGCAACTATTCGAGTGGGGTGATTTCCTCGAAATTATTAATTAGAAAAACTTGATCTTCAATTGCGTTATACAGGTAATAGTGTGATGACTTGTGAGCAAACCCAAAATGCTATCTTCTACGCTTTCACTAACTCTTCTGTGTGTCATGGGGTTAGCCCTAGCCCTGGTCCTTCCATCCCATGCACAAAGCTCGCAACAGGACTACGTCAATGCTCACAATACAGCTCGAGCACAAGTTAATGTTGGACCGATGACTTGGGACAACATGGTGGCTGCCTATGCTCAAGACTATGCGAATCAACGTATCGGAGATTGCAGACTTGTACACTCCAGAGCAATGGTAGATCCAGGATTTTTGCCCAGGGAGGGCTTCCGCGGCTCCACCATTATTTGTCAAACAACTAGTGAAAACTTTAAAAAACCACGAAACCCCAAGCAAAGAAAATAATATAATATCAAAAACCTAAGAAAAAAGAATGTAATAACATAATATTTTCTTACTTGAATAAATCTATGAGAAACAAAATTTTGAGTAAATATGTTAAGTAAACCTTGAGAAAAACTTTCTTTTAATTTTTTTATTTATTTTTTGCTTCCAAAGATTAAAATATAAATTTTCATGATTTTGATTAGATCTAGCCTAAGCTAAAGTCAACCAAAACTTAAGTCAAGTCAATGTTGCGTTGACTTTTAATATGAATTAATAAAAAATGGGGAATTTTCTTGGTTTAAACATAGATAGTAACTTAAATTTCTTTAATAATTTTAAGTAACTGAACGATGACGTTTGAAATGTAAGAAGTGGTGGGTGAAGGGTGAAGAATAACGTTCTTTAAAATATAGTTAAGGTTTTAATTTGGGAAAGTATGTTCATTCTTAGACACAAAACACAAAATAAACTCCCAAGACCCATGTCTTTTTCCCTAAAATTAGAATAAAAAACCTCCAAAAAAAGAAAAAAAGTATGATTCAACCTTAAAATAAACTAAATTGAAATGAGCAATACACATACCTATAATTGATAAAAAAGAAAACGGAGCTAATTGTGGCACCTTGAGTAGTGAAAGCTTTAATAATTTTAGTCTTCAAAAGTTTGAAGAGCGAATAGCATGAGAAAGAGAAAGTGAGAATGAGAGAGTAAAGAATTTTGGGATAAAATCATAAAAAACAAGTAAAGCATGTGGAGAAAAAGAGTGGAGAGAGTTTTAAATTTTTAATATAATGTGAGCTTGAAATATAGATATATATAGATATATATATATATAGATATATATATGTAGTTCTCATTTTTAAAAAATCTTAGGGTGGGCCCAGTATATATATTAATAACAATTTTTTGTGGGTCTATATATTATTATTATTATTATTATTATTTTAAATATGAGGGTAGGCCTAGAGGGGCTGGATCTGCCCCTGCTTCGGAGGTCCTTATGGCGAGAACCTTGCATGGAGCAGTGGTGACCCTTTAGGCATTGATGTTGTGACATTGTGGGTTGATGAGAAGGCCGACTATAACTATGACACTAATACTAGCGCTCTGGACAAGGTGTATGATAAGAACCCAAACAAAATCAACCCAAAACTTAAGCAACACACAACAGAACACACAACATAATCTGAATATACTTTGAATTCCTCTATATTGAATATTTGCAAATATTGAATACAACCTAGAAACATTGACAGTAAGACATAATTAAGAACAAAGAAAATAATGTAAACTGTAAGTTTTAATAAGGTTACCAAGTGATTAAAACTTATGCAGAATGGGTTGCTTGTTCATTTTAGTGCAAATGAGTTGTGAGAGACATAAACAAAACATACATCAAAGCAAGTAAAGAACACACTTGTTTTTACATGGTTCGACATCATGCCTACATCCATGGGACCAAGTCTAGAGGAAGAAAATTCACTATGAAATACTTTTGAGTCCAAATACAAAGCAAGATAACCAAAGTTGCAAAACACTCCTTGTTTTCTACATGACAACTCTATCTTCTTTGGTTGAACTTCAAGTCCTCACAGCAAGCTTCACATGCACAACATCACCATGTTGAAATTGAGTTCCTCTCAAGTTTCAACAACGAAGACCAATCTTCGGGACAGTAGCTTACACACAAGCACTCATCAACATGGAATCAAGTTCCAAAGTCATCACACAAGAACAAGAATAGAAGGTAATTTGAAGCCTACCAAAGCATAGTAAGAAACCTTAACCAAAACAAAGACCTCAAAGAATATTCCAAGAGGGAAACAGTGGTGCTCAGATGTCTTGAAGAAGACACCAGAAAAATATGAATATATAGAGTTCAATGCGTCAAGGGTTGGAGGACAAAAGAGTTAAATATCAACTTTTGGGTTTTTCTTTCTATAAAATGATGCCTAATGTCAATTTGTTTGGTTTTAGAATGTTGAATTGGATTTTTAGAGATGTTTATTGCACTTGTGTTATCACAAAAAACAGTTATGCATTCTTGATCTAATCCATAATCACTTAGCATTTTTTTTTTTTAACTAGAAAACCTGTGTACAGCAGCTCCCTGCAACAATATATTCAGCTTCGACTGTGGAAAGCAAGATTGAATTATGTTTTTTGCTATACCAGGTGATCAAATAATTGTTAAGGAAAAAGCATCCTCTAGATGTGTTTTTTTATCATCCAAGCTCCCTGTCCAATCAGCATCACTAAAGCCCACAAGAGTAGGATTAGAATCATAAGAAAAACAAAGTCCAAAATCATATGTTCCGGCAACATATTTCATCATCCTTTTCATAGCTTTAAGATGGAGCTCAATTGGATTAGATTAAAACCTAGCACACACACCTACACTAAAGCACAAGTTAGGCCTACTTGCTGTCAAGTATACAAACTTCCTATCATGCTTCTAAATAACTTGTTATCAACCTTTTTACCATTTTCATCCTTGGAGAGTTTAAGGGTGGAGCACATTGGAGTGTTAGCATGCTTGGTAGATTCAAGATTGAATCTCTTGAGCATGTTTTTGGCATATTTGGACTGAAAGACAAACAAGCCACAATCAATTTTTTTTTGATTTGAAGGCCAAGGAACATGTTTAGCTCTCCAACCATGCTCATCTCAAATTCATCTTTCATCAATGCAATAATTTTTTTCAATTGAGTATGAGAACTAGAACCAAAGACTATATCATCTACATAAATTTAATTAAGCACATAGAAACTCACCACTTTCATGCTTTATGAACAAGGTTTTGTCGGCATTACCTCTTGTGGTCAAGAAGGAAGGAGGTTAGCCTATCATACCAGGCTCTCGGTGCTTGCTTCAATCCATAGAGTGCTTTCTTTAGTTTGAAATCATGGTAGGGCTTGTGAGGTTCCTGAAAAACTACTGTTGCTCCACATAGACTTCTTCCATGAGCAAGCCATTCAAGAATGCACTCTTCACATCCTTTTGACAAAGTTTTAGCTTCATACAGCAGGTAACTCCCATCATTAATCTTATGGATTCAAGCCTAGTCACTAGTGCAAAAGTCTCATCGAAATCAATTCCTTCAACTTGGGTATGCCCTTGTGCAACAAGCCTTGCTTTGTTTCTCACTATGTTCCCAAACTCATTTGATTTATTCTTAAAAATCCACTTTGTTCCAATAACATTGATCACTTTAGGCCGGGGAACCAAGTTCCACACATCATTTCTCTCAAACTGTTCCAACTCTTCATGCATGGCAACAATCTAGCAATCATCTTCAAGTTCTTCTTTAGCGTTCTGAGGTTTTGAAAGGGAAACATAGCACATGTTATTAATTTCACTCAACCTGTTTTGTCTAGTGACCATTACCTCTTTCAGATTTCCAATTATCGTGGAAGGTGGATGAGCCTTTTTTATCCAAGAAGGTGGTTCTCTGGTTTTGGGAGTCTTTTGTTGAGTGATTTCATCGGACAAATCGACAATCAATTCGAGTCCTTGTCTCTTCGAAAGAGATCCTTGTTGGGCTACAGAGGTGTTCACATCAGATTCTGGAGTGGTCACATCTTTAGATGAACTCATAGTGGGCATATTCTCTTGTACGGTGGTCACCTCAATAGAAGATATTAAGTCATTAATATCATTTTCATGAGAAAACTATGAAAAATCTTTTGAATCAGAGAAAATAACATTAAATGATTCAATAAGACGTTGAGTTCTTATATTAAAAATCCCATATGCTGTACTTTTTGTGGAGTACCCAAGAAAGACACCTTCATCACTCTTGGAATCAAATTTCCCTAGGGGATCTCTATCATTCAACACATAGCACTTGTACCCAAAGACATGAAAATAGGACAAATCTGCCTTCTTACCCTTCCACAACTCATATGGAGTTTGTGAGGTACCTTTCCTTAGATAAACTTTGTTGGCAATGTGACATGCAGTGTTGATTGCTTTAGCCTACAATCTCATTGGTAATTTGTTGACATTTAACATGACTCTTGCCATTTCTTGAAGGACTCTATTCTTCCTCTCCACAACTCCATTCTGTTGGGGTGTTTTTGGAATAGAAAACTTGTGCCATGTACCTTGCAAATCACAAAAACCTAAAAAGTTAGAGTTCTTAAACTCTCTTACATGATCACTTCTTATCCTTACAACTTTCTTCACTCCACAATTTTGTTCAACTTGAAGTCTTTTGATTGGTTTTGGAAGGCTTCAAATGCATCAGACTTTTCCCATAAAAAATGAACCAAGAATATCTCGAAAAATCATCAACGCACAAAAAAAAAATATCTCTTACCTTCTAAACTTTCAGTTTGCATAGGACCTATCTAGTCCATATGAAGAAGTTTTGAAACACATGAGGTACTCAACCAAGAGAAAGATTTGTGAGGAGACTTAGTTTACTTACCTTGTTAGCACAGCCCACAAACTTTACCTTTTGGAAACACAAGTATAGGTAAACCTTTCACAGCCTCTTTCTTGGAAAGTTTCACAAGGTCTTTGAAATTCATGTGTCTAAGCTTCTTGTGCCAAATATCAACACAATCTGATTTTGAACTTGAACAATGAACTTTGTTTGTTAATAAGTAGCAATTATCATTTGATCTCTTTCCTTCAAGCACTAAAGTACCATCATCATTCAAAACTTGACATAAATTTTTTGAAAATTTCACAACACAACCCTTATCACAGATTTGACTGATGCTTATAAGATTAGCTTTGAGACTTTCAACATAGAACACATCATTCAAAACAGGGTAACCAAAAATAACAATAGACCCTTTGCCAAGGATTTTACCTCTTTTGCCACACCATAGGTCACATGACCAACCTTTGCAAATTCAAGATTAGTCAACAACCCTTTGTTGCTTGTCATTTGCCAGGAACACCCATTGTCAAAGTACCATTGGTCATTTTGAAATGCAAGCAATGATGTATGAGCAGCCAAACAGTTGGTACTAGACTTGGATCTCCACATTTTTCTATTTTTGAAAACATTGTTTTGATGTGGTGATTTTTGAAAGGGAAAACCAAGATTTCCAATGCATCTTTTCAAGTATGAAATGAGCTTGAAATAATCAGGTCTAATGTGACCTTTCTTTAGACAGAAATGACAAATAGGAGTAAACATTGTTTCCTTCAAGGGAGGATCAGGACAAGCAGTAAAAACTTTCGGATCAGAATTAATGTTGATTGTGGTGGTCACAATTGGTTTTGAGGTACTTACCTTAATGAAGGTGGTGACACCAGGTTTGGAAGTGCTTGCGCTAGGAGAAAAACCCAAACCAGTTTTGTCACCAAAAGACTTTCCTTGGCTAAGAACTTCATCAAGTTTGTATGAACTTGCATTCAATCTTTCAACAATGGTCTTGGCCTCAGTTAGTTCATTTAAAGCTTGATTTAATAAAAGTTCCTTGTTGGATAAATCAATAAACAAAGCTTTCAAATCATCATTCAACACTTTCTTATCTTCTGTTAAGGTGCAATTTTCAGATTCTAGGGATTTGACCATCTTGATGGCTTTCAACCATAACTCATACATCTTGCCATAAGCCTCTTGCTGCTCTTTATAGATATCATTTGAGTCATCCGAGGACACGCTCCTACTATCCTCTTGGTTAGCCGTAAAAGCCAAGAAGTGCTCATCCTCATTTGTGTCATCATCTCTACTCTCACTGTCATCACTTTCACTTAGTGTGGTAGCTATGGCTTTTCCATTTTTCTTTAAAGTGTTCGCACACTCTGATTGAATGTGGCCATACCCTTCACACTTATAGCACTTGATGCCTTTGTTTTTCTTTTCATTATCTCTCGAAAATCGTTTCAAGAAGGCACCTTGACCAAACTGGTCAAGAGACTTCTTCATAAGAGGTTGCTTACTTTTTTTGCCCAAATTTGGGTTTCTCATATTCTTTTTCAAGAATTTAGCAAAAATTTTTGTGAGTAAAGCGCACTCATCTTCCTCACCATCATTAGAAACAACACAAACAAAGGGTTCAGTCATTACCTCTGCTTCAACCTTGGTTTCTCCTTCCACCGTTTCAGATTGAGTTCAAACATTTGTAGTTACCTAATGAGTTCATCCAACTACATGTTGTCTAGATTTTGGCATTCTTCAATAGATGTTGCTTTGGACATGAACTTCATAGGTAAGGAACACA